CCTTCCCGGCCAGGGCGAGAAGAGACACCTGCACCTGCGTCATGTTCCCGCTCTCAAACAGGTCGTTGGCCTCGAACAGGTCCACAGGGTTCATGCCGTAGCTGACCATGGCCTTGATGAAGGTGGACAGGTTTTCCAGCTGGGGGAGGGAGGCAGGGGAAGGACCGTGAGGCGACCCTGGCCTGCCCACCTGCCAGGCAGAGGCGGTCCCGGCGCCCCCTCCTCGTGCTGCCCCAGCCCCTCACCTGGTGCCAGTTCTGCATGGAGCGGTTGATCTTGGGGACAGAGCCTGGCTGCAGCTTATTCATGAGTCTGGGGGGACACGCGGGGAACCTGCATTACTGTAGGGGAACCTCAGAGACCCCAGACACCACTTCCACTCTTGGCCACACCCATGCCTCCCCAAGCAGCCTCGCTGCCTCTCTCAGGCCTCAGTTTCCCCTCCTGGAATGCACGCTTCACTGGCAAGGAAGCAGAAGCCCAGGAGCGACGGGGGTGGGTGTCAGGACCACGTCCGGGGGCGGTGAAGCTGGGGGCGGTGAATCCGGGAACTCCCAGTCGGCGGGGAAGGGCAGGGACTCTCCCGCTGCAGGGAGGACGGACAGTAAGGATGCTCATCCTTAGTAACACAAGGAAACAAAAGACGAGGAAGACCCGAGACCCGTCGTGGGGAGAGGGGGCAGGCTTCCTGCCGTAGGTGGAGCGTGACCACGGGGCGCGGGGCGGGCAGGGCACCCAGCAGCGGCCAGCACACGCACTCACGTGCACAGGATAACTCCGTCTTTCAGACCCTTCTGGAAGTCGGGCCCGATGGCGAGGCCTGTGAGTCCCTCGATCCAGCTGCGGAGCTCCGCCTCCTTCTGGGGGTCGTACTTGGACAGGAGCTGGAGGGGCAGAGGCACGGGGAGGGGGTGAGCCCAGGGCCGCCGCCCGCGGCAGCTCCAAGGCAAGCAGAGGCCCCACGGCCGGCCCTCCCCTTCGCCATCAGCAGCACCAGCTTCACAGGCGCACTCGGGCGACTTGCGGCGGCGCCAACCCGCGCCCGCGGCCCCAGCCCCGGGCGCTCCCTGCACCAGAGAAGTTGCCTCTTCTCTGCTGTTTTTAAATGGTTGTGAGATGCACTTGACGTTTACCATTGTAACCATTTTAAAGTGAACAGTTCAGTGGTTTTTAATACACTCACGATGTTGTGCAACCATCACCTTGGTCTAGTTCCAGAACATTCCATCACCCCAAAAGAAACCCTGTCCCCATCAGCCGTCACTCCCCGTCCCTCTCCCCAGCCCCTGTCACCTCTAACCCCCTTCCCATCTGTGGGTGAGACTGTTCTGGACGTGTCACCCACGTGGACTCACACCCCGTGTGGCCTTCTGTGTCTGGTTCCCTCCCTGAGCGTTGTGGGCTCGGGGTCCGTCCCCGGGGCCGTGCGTGTCGACACCTCACCCCTGTTCGAGGCAGAGGGACGTTCCTGTGTGTGGATGGACACGTTGTTTACCTGTTCATCCATGGATGGACATTTGGGTTGTTTCTACCTTTTGGCTATTGAGAATAATACTCCCATGAACATCCATGTACAAGTTTTCTTTTTTTTTTTTTTTAAGATTTTTATTTATTTATTGAGAGAGAGAGAGAATGATAGAGAGAGAGCATGAGAGGGAGGAGGGTCAGAGGGAGAAGCAGACTCCCTGCTGAGTAGGGAGCCCGATGCGGGACTCGGTCTCAGGACTCCAGGATCATGACCTGAGCTGAAGGCAGTCGCTTAACCAACTGAGCCACCCAGGCACCCCATGTACAAGTTTTCAATTCTTGTGGGTACATATCTAGGAGTGGAATCGCTGGGTCACGTGGTAACGCTATGTTTAACATACCGAGGAACCACCAAACCCTTCTCTGTTCCTTGAACTGACCATACCAGTTACTGCCACAGGGCCTTTGCACAAGCTGTCACTTCTGACTCAGATGTTCACATGGCTGGGTCCCTCCCGTCAATTCACTCACCAGTCCAGCTTGAAGGTCAAGTCCTTGGAGAGGGCTTTCCTGACTACCCCAGCTATGAAGCCCTCCTCATACCCCTGTCTCCCCCACCCTGCCTTATTTTCCTTCTAGCTTTTCTCTTTATACAATATACCTCCTTGCTTATGATCCACCCCTCGAATTTCGCCACCCAGCTCAGTGCTGTCTCCACAGTCCCAGGATGGTGGGATAAAAATGCTCATGGTCCCCCATCAGTGCACACCATTACCCACAAATACATACACGCACCCTGTTCCCAATGGCAGCATCTCAGGGCACCAAAGGCCAAGAAAGCCAGGGGCCCAGGGAAGCCCCAGTAAGTCAGGGACTCCCAGACCAGTGTGTGGCGTGGGCAGACACGGTCAGCCCCAGGGCGGCTCCTGGGGAGGGGAGGTAAGAAGCTGAGTCCAGTCCCCGTTCAGCTGCAGACTGTCCAGTTCAGTGGGCTTTTTGCTCTAGACCCACATAGATCCTTGCCCTGGACACTTTCCCTTCCTGTCCTTCTGCCCCCACCAGGGGACCGGGACCCCAGAGCCACCCTCTATAGACCCAATTCCTACTCTCAGCTCTGCTCCCAGCTCCCTTATGGCCATGGACACAGTTCTCTCCCCGTGCCTCAGTTTCCCTATGTTTGGAATTGTTTGCACAAGGGCCTCCTGAAGCAGGCCCCACCTCTTGGTTCCTGCATATAAACCGCCGCCCCCCCCCCCCCGCCGTGGGATCAGGGCCGGGCTGATCTGAGTGCAGTAGAGACAAAGGCGGGGAGGCTGGCCTGCAAACTTGATCCTCCCCCCCCCCCCCCCCCCGCCCCCACTCCATCTCCGTTCCCACAGCCCTGCAGCCCTGCCCTGAAGAATGACAAGCTGAGCTTGAGGCAGGCCGGCTCGTCTGGACACCTGGCATACCTGCCCAACTGGGCCCGGTCCCTGATGGCTCCTGGGAGCCGGGGTCCTGGGCAGAGGCGCCTGGCCAGCCCCGTCTGCAGCAGTCGCCTGCACCCCCCACCCCTGCTGCCCGGCCGGCCTTCAGCACATTCCTCCTCGCCGCAAACTGCCAGGAATGCAGCTGCTGTGTCCCTGCTAAATCGGGACCAGCTGTTCCCAGAGGTCTAGACCCCCCAGCCGGCCGGAAATCCAGTGACTGCTCAGGGACACGGTGGACATCAGCCTGCCTTCATGCCCACCAGCCTGGGGCAAACTGAGGCACATGGGGCCAGGCAGAGGTCTCCAGAGGTCTTAACGTCCTCTTAAGTAGCTGGTAGAGTGGACAGGGCGTGGGTTTCAAGGCACAAGAAGCTGGTTTCCAATCCTGGCGCGGCCCAAGTGACCGTGACAAGCTAGCCACTGCCCTGCCCATTCTCCAGGCCTGCGAACTGAGGGCTGGTCACAGGGAGCCTTCTGACCTCATCCCAGACAGAGCAGGTCTCCGCATGCCCCAACCCACTCCGTCTGCGGAAGCTGCCTGCACACCGGCCAGGGTGCCACCCACTTCCTGCTGCGCCAGGGGAGATGCAGGCAGCTGCCCACCAGGGCCAGTGGCCGTCAGGCGCTGGAGGCAGCGGGTCTCGGTTCGAGTCCTGACTCTGCCGCTCGCAAGCTGTGTGATTCTGGGCAGCTGGTGTGACATCTCTGGGCCCCACGTACAAACCCACGGGGCTCTTAAACTTCCTTGGCGTTGAGCGGGGCAGGACGCGAGCACCTACATGGGTGGCAGTGTGTGAACGTTCATCCCATGCCATTATTGCTGGAGTGGAGAAGAGCATGTTTAAGGAAGGTTCTGGAGCCTTAGTTCCCCAAGCCTCAGCCTCCTTCCGTCTAAGGGGCTGGAGGGAGGCTCCTGGGAGCTCACAGAGGCCATGCAGTCTCCCCCGGGTCCGCGATCCCCGGGGTGCCCGAGGGGCAGGTGCCCGTGTGGGGCGGGCAGGGCTCTGCCTTCCACATGCCCAGGCAGGCTCCCAGGGGCTGCTGGCCGTGGGGCTACGTTCCCAGGTGCCCTGAGGGAGGGTGGGCAGGGATGACAGACTCCCCTCTGGCTGGAACGGCCTTGAGTGACTGGCCTAGGACATCTCCCTGGGGCTGGGAGCACCCCCTGCTCCCCCCTCCCTAGGACGGACCCTGCTGTGTGACCCTCCACAAGCATCTGCCCCTCTCTGAGCCAGATCAACAAGTGCTTTCTCAAAAGTGTCTCCCCCAGGCCCCATCCCGTGTTTCTAAGTTACAAAACTCACACCTTTTAGGATTACATTCAGGGGGCTCCGGGCATCCTGTAGACCCCTTTGCTATTGCTTTAACTTTGTCAGATGGGGACAAAGAGAAGCTACCAGGGAGCAGCTGGGCAGCCCCCTCCGTCCCAACTTCCCCCTTGGTGACGTCCCCCCCCCCCGCCCCCGCCAGGTGTTAGAGGTGGGGAAATTCCTGTGGGGGGGCCACACCCTTTCAAAACAGCGCAGGGAGGGCCCCACTCCCTTTCCCCTCCTGAAGCTTGTGTGGCCAGGGAGCGAGGAGGGGCGGCTGGGGTCCCCGCAGACCCTCTGGGCATTCTCAAGACCTCGCAGCGCCGGAGGGGCCGGGGCTGTGGGGCTGAGAGCGAGGCGGGGCGGGGTTCCGATGGGGGAGGGCTGGCGGAAGGGGTTAGACCCGACCGCCCCTCGACGTTGGCGGGCGGTGCGGGACCGCAGAACTCACCGCCCCCCGCAGCTGGGGGAGCCTCGGGGACGATGCCCCGGCACAGCAGACGTTAGGGGGAGGAGGGCCATTCTCCTCCCGGGTCTCAGCGCCCACCGCCCGCCACGCGCTGGGGGGGGAGCCCGGCGGGGGTCCCGGCCCTGCGCGCGGCGCGGCGTGCGACGGCCTCGGCCGGCGGGCTCGGGGGGCGCGCCCCTCACTCACCCGGTTCTTGACCTCGGCCGACAGCCCGTACGAGGGCCCCTTGTTGAACTGCGTGGAGCTCATGGCTGGCGGGGCGGCGGGATGGGACGGGACGGGACGCGACGGGCGCGCCGGCGGGGGACGCGCGGGCCTGGCCGCCACGCCCCCGCCGCTGATTGGCCCCCGGCGCTCATGTCCTTATAAGGCCGGGACGCGCCGGATTCCTGCGGCCCGCACTTCCTGAGCCCCCTCGCCGCCCCCGACCCCCGCCCCGGCGGGGCACCCACCGTCGGCCCCGCGGAACGGCCGGGCCACAGAGGCGCGGAGACCGCCCGAACCAGGCAGTCCTGTCCTCTCCCTGCTGGGAGACCCTCGGCGGCTCTGTCAGCCTTTCCGCACCCTTCGGCCCGGTGATTTGGGGCGGGACTCTAATCCCCCTGGGGCACGAATGAGGACCCCTCTCTGTCGCACAGAGGCGCCTCCAGCTCTACCCCCTTCCTGGGAACTCCCACAGCTGGGTGGTGGACAAGGGAACTAGGGCAGGCTCCTCAGAGGAGGGGCCTTTGGAGCTGGGGCTTTGATGGATGAGTAGGAGTTTGCCAGTCCAAAAGGGATAGTGTTTCCCAGCAGAGCAAAAGTTGCAAAACCCTGAAGAGACCGTCAGTGGCTGAAAGCATGTAGAGGTCGATCGGATAGGTTGGGGAAGGGGGGTTGGAATGAGAAGGGGCTTTGAATTTCCCACTGAGGAATGATAGGGAATGCGGAGGGAGTAGAACAGAGACTTGAGGTCAGGAGATGTCCTGGGGGTAGAGCTGAGGCTGTTGAGTTTTCGAGGCCAGGCACACACTTGATGCTCAACAGGTGGTGTGTGCTTGTACAGATAATCAATCAATCAATCAATCAATGACAGAATAAATGGATTTACTTGTTCAGTAATTCATTCATTCATCCATTGACACAACTACTCATTGCTCAAATGCTCCCTGACATGGCTTCTGGGCCATTCCCTTGCTAGGAGATGCTGGCTCGCAGGAGACCTTAGCTCCATCCCTGCCCATTCCTGGAAAGACAGAGCCGGGCACAGACCCCCACCCCTGCCCTATGTGAGCAAGTACGGGACAGAAAGAAGAGTCTGAACGAGGGATGGAGGAAACTGGAGGGGAAGTGGGGGCTCCAGGAGAGGTGTCAAGGAAAGCTGCATGTAAGAGGGGACATGGGAGATGGGGTTTTAAAGCATGAGTAGGAGTTTGACACATCTGACAAGCAGCTCATTGGGCTCGGTGAGGGCTCAGAGATGACTCACCACTCCCCTTCCATGGGAAGCACACCTCCCTGGCTCCCCAACCCCTGGATATCTGTTACCTCTCCACCTCTCATTCTCCCATTCCATCTATCTGAAGATCCTTTCTTCAGGGTTCAAGTCCTAGCCGGTGGTCTTGGGTGAGTCCCTTCGGTCTCAGTTTCCTTGTCTGTAAAAAGGGGGAACCAGCACACAGCGGGGAGTCAACAATGAGACAGTGTGGCTCTGAGGGTGGGGATAGTGCAGTCTGTTGGTATCTAGGTGGGGAGCTGTGAGGGTGGTAGGATCCTGGAGCAGGGGCGGGGGGGTCAGGTAGATGCCTTGTGGGTCCTGCTGGGGCATGGGAATCAGTGGGACCCACGGCGCGGTGGAGAATGGCAGCGGGAAGGGTGCTCAAGCCTGTCCCCTGGCCCCCACCCCAGCCTATGGTGGTCAGTGGCTGCTAGCAACATGCCCATGGGTCTCCTTGCCATGCCCAGCCTCTGGTGCTTGGCCAAGGAGCCGCCAGTGACTCTAGGGACACCATCCGCACTGGGAGGCTCTGGGATAGAGAAGTTGGATGTGACACCTGCCCGTGCCCACTCAGGCAAGCATGTTCGCAGGGCAGTGCCTGCCAGTGTTCTGAGGCGCAGGACCCCCAGACCTCCTAGCATGCTGTCCATCAGGGACAAGGGGGGCCAGCCGGCAGCTCTGCAGCCTTACCACCCCCTCCCAGTCGAGCCCTCCAAGTGTGGTCGGGGCGCCGGAGAAGGCCCAGGCTTCCCTTCATAGATTTTAATTAATCCTGGCTTAAAATTAAATTCAGATTTTGCAAAACATCTGAGCACATTTGGAACAACTTGGGGATGTGTGTTTTCCTGTTCAGTGTAAGTTTTACACAATCTAGCTATGGATGAATATTTCCAGAGACACGAGCGTGGGGACTGAGGTGTGCGGGGCGTGGGGAGCACGCCCCCCAGATCTGGAAGACCTCATGCAGAAGAAGGTATAAATTGGTACCTTGTTGGGTGCCTGGTTGGCTCAGTTGGTTAGGCGACTGCCTTCGGCTCAGGTCATGATCCTGGAGTCCCTGGAGCGAGTCCTGGATCGAGTCTCTGGATCGAGTCCCGCATCAGGCTCCCTGCTCGGCAGGGAGTCTGCTTCGCCCTCTGACCCTCCCCTATCTCATGTGCTCACTCTCTCATTCTCTCTCTCTCAAATAAATAAAATCTTTAAAAAAAAATAAAAAAAATAAATTGGTACCTTGTTAACTTTTCATACAGATTGCATGCTGAAACACATTACTAAAACTGTTCTCTTCTAGTTCTTTTAACATGGCTTAAAATTTAAAATCACGTGTGTGGTCAGGCTCATGTTTCTATTGGCCCGCGCTGTTCTGGACCCTGGGCCAAATCCAGATTCCAGGTTTGGTTTGGTTTGGTTTGGTTTTTTTGGGATGGCTCTTGAGCTAATAATTTTTTTTAGGGGGGGTACATTTTTAAGTGGTTGAAAAGAATCCTTTTCTGCAGCACGTGGAAATCCTATAATATTAAAGTGTCAGCTTCGAGACAAAGTTTTACGGGCACCCCGCTGTGCTCATTCATTTACAGCTGCCTTCATGCGACTCCGTCCTGAGCGGAGCTCTCTCTGGGCTGCCAGGCTGAGAATACGGGCTTTTTGGCCTTTTACAGAAAATAGTTTCCCCACCTGGGTTCTAGACACTCAACCTCCCAGAACTCAAGAAATCCAGACTCAGACATCCCCAAACTCAGAATCCTGGAGTCTGGAAGCTTAGGACATTATAATTTTCGAAACTCCGCCTGAGGACCTCAGATTTATGGGATTACACAATTCTGTATAATCCTTTGGCCTCAGTGCCCCCACTTGGAGCCTGGCTTCAAATCCCAACTCCCCACTGGGCTGTGTGATTTCATGCAGCAAAGACACTTGGCGTCTCCAGGCCTCCTCTCCCCATCTGGAAAGCTCCTTGCAGCCCTTGGGTTTGCTGTCAGCGTGAAATGGGTTAATTTGTCAAGCATTCGCAGTACCACAGGGTAATCTAAGATAAGGGTTGTCCAGTCAACACACGTCAGTATTTTAGGAATTCTGGCCTCCGTTGGGAACCTGGCAAGGAGGTCTGGGACCCCTGCAGCTGCCCTCTGCCCATGACCCCCAGGGACTCACTCATTCCCCCAGGACTGACCCCTGAGGAGACTGCAGGGGATGTGGAATGATGCAGGGCTCAGGGGGAAGGGGGTGTCGGTCCTCCAGGTACTCTGGGGTGGGACCTCGGTGATGCCTTTGGGGCAGGAGGCCACAGCTGGAGGACCTGGGGTTACAGGGCCCCCCAGAGCCTCAGCCTCAGGTACTGGGTTGGGGGCTGGGCCTGGGGTCCTGGTGGCAAACAATCATCTCAGGACACCTGCAGGCAGAACAAGCCCAATGCGGACAACAACAAAACAGTAATAGTAACAATAGCATCTCAGAGGACAGAGTGGGGGACCTGTGAAATCAGGTCAGGAGCCTCCCTTGCTCAAAATCGGCTCTGCTCCCCGAGGCCCCCTCCCCCGAGATGTCCTCCAGGACCCCTCCCACTGCTGGGTGAACTCTCCACCACACCGGCCTTCTCACTGTGCCCCAGTCCCGTCTCAGGGCCTTTGCCCTGGCTGTGCCCTCTGCTGATGCTCCGTCCGCCTGGCTCCTTCTCTGCCCTCCCCCCTGTTCGACGGTCAGCTTCTTGTGAGCCTCCCTGGACCCCCAATTAACTCTCAACCCGCCCCAGACCGGCTTCCTGCCCCTTGGCCACCAGCACACCCCAGACACCTAGCAGCCGTGCCTTCAGCACCCTGGGACACCCAGCCCAGCTTCTCACTTCCCCGACGGTCCCCCGAAGCGTGGGTGTGGTGTGGCATTTGGTCCTTCTCTATCACTTCAGGCTGAGACTTCCAACTCTCCTTGGCCATTTTTCTTTTTTCGCGACGGTGGCTTTCCGAGGAGGCCAGCAGTCGTTCACTTGCTTTGGTGGCCCTGAGTTTCTGCCACATGGCAGGGAGCTCTAGACAGCGCCTCAGCCACAGGTGGCCATTTCAGTGTAAATTACACGCATAAAAATAAATGGCTACATTTCACATGCTCCAGGCCTTGGACCTCGCTGGACAGATGAGCAGCTCGCGATGCCACCCCCGGCCCCACCCAAGCGAGGCTGGGTTTAGGCTGGGTTTACCCTCCAGGTCAGAGGGACATCTGCCTGCCTCTCTGTTGGGAAAGACCATTTTTTCCTCCCTTTGCAGGTAACAAGTGATTTGGGAGTAATCCAGTAATTTCAAGAGTGCGCATATATTGAGCTCTATGCCAGGCCCAGCTCTACGTGCCGGGCACTCTACGAAACAGGAAGAGAATGATCTCAGCCTCCCTCCTGGTCGTGGTGGAGTAGGACACCATCTGCGCGGCCATCTCCTGGGTGTGGGCCTCCCAGGATCACAAAACCTGGCGGGTGGATCTGGAAGGTTCTCTCAGCTTCCTGGTCACAGCTGAAAGGTCTCCTCCCTCTCTGACCACCTCCCCCACATCCTGGACTTTCGCAGAGGCCCCGTCTGCCCCCCTCACAGTGGGATGCTCGCCCTCAGGAACCAGATCACACATCAGTCTCCCTGCGGGTCCTTGAGCTCTGTGAGGGCTCAGGCCCTGGGGCACTGGCAGCCGCCTTCCCCATGTGCAGCAGGCCTGGCGTCCACTGTCCTTGGCCAGGGCAGCCGCTCAGGCGTCCTCATCCCGTGCTCCCTGTCTCCCCCTCCGCCTGTGCTCCCGCACTTCCCGTTGCGGCGGGGAGCGTGGCCTGGAAGCACCTGGCATACAGTAGCACTCAGTGAATGTTTCCTTGGCGGTTGAGCGGCCTTTGGAGGACGACTGAAGGAGGGAGCTCGAGGAGTGTGCTAGGCTGTGTGCGGCCGGGCCGGAGGGCGGGGGAGTGGGCAGGCACACCTCTGCGCCTGCGGGTCTGAGAACTCCCGCCGGAGTTGCCGGCGCTGTTCAGGGACCAGGTCCGCACTGCTCGTGGTCCCGCATTGTCCACGCTGTCGTCCCCTCGTGGACCAAGCTTGCGCGGGTGGCAGGTGGCAGATGCACACCGGAGCCGCGCCCAGCCCGGAGTCTGGAGGTCGGGAAGCGGGCGACGGCAGCTGAGCCTCCTGAGCGACCTGGTACGGAAGGAATACCTGGCACTCGCTGGGCCACCGTGAAGCGCGGAACGTGGCTCAGCCGCAAGTCCGTCCTTCCCTTCCGCGCATGCAGCAGGCGCTCTCTAGATGCTCGCGCCCACCCACCGTCGCGGCGAGCGGTGCTCTGAAGCAAAATATGGAACGCTTCACGAATTTGCGTGTCATCCTTGCGCAGGGGCCATGCTAATCTTCTCTGTATCGTTCCAATTTTAGTATATGTGCTGCCGAAGCGAGCACGACTATGAGTTCCTACACAGAATTATTTAAAGTCCAAAAATAAAATCACTTTACAGTTAGGCCACACTGATGTAACTGCATTCACCGTGATTTTCCTAGGGCTCCATGTAAATGGCTATCTCCTACCATCACGCTTGCCTTGAGTGTCTCTAATCACGCTAAAGCCCTAGATATTGACTAATTTAATCGCCCAAGTGCGGCTTCGCAGACGCGAAGGCTTGTGGGGGATGATATGCAAAAGAGACCCGGACGAGACGCGGCCCCGCCCCTGGCCTGGGGAGAGGGCGGGGCCGCTTTGGGCCGGCCGCCGCCATCCCAGCGTTCCCCGCGAGCGCAGGGGAGCCGCTCTTGCCGCCGCGGCGACTCGCTGGCGTCAGCAGGCCGCGGAGGCGGAAGATGGCGGCGGC